TATTTTATTTTTTTAAAATTTATTTATTTATTTATTCAAATAAAAAGAAGCAAGGGGAGGTACATGAAGGAGAATAGAAAGTTACAATTCTCCTTCCCTTCATTCCCCTTAATCTTAACATATGGTTATGTATATATGTGTGTATATATATATATATATTTTTTTTTTCTTTTTTTTCACTAAAAAAATTATCATTGAATTACCACTAAATTACTTCAATTTTAAGGAGTTTGTTATCATTAAACAAGAAATCTACATTGAAATATATATTAAAAAGACACATCTTTTAAATTTAACGCTTATAGTACCCTCAAAGTACTCCTAAATAATACTAATATTTTGATTTATCAAAAAAAATTAGTATGGTGAATTGATTTTAAACTTAGAGCGTAGTTTATGTTGTATGTTGTTAACAAGTAGAGTAACTCATAAATAATTTATGAACTACTCATGTTAAGCTCAACTTGAGCTCAATTTTATTTCATAAACAAGTTGAGCTCGAGCTTAATATTGAGTTCAATAGAAAAATAAACTTGAGTTATTGAAACATTTTGAAATTATAAGTAAAAAACTCAAATTCAAGTTAAAGTACTTGTTAGTTCAAACTTATGAACAAACTTAAACTTGCTTAAATACTTATGAATTTGAGTACGAATTTAATTATTTTAAATTTAACAAATAGTTAAACTTAAATTTTTAAGGTAAACTTGGTACACATACTTAAGTACTTGGCTCAACTCGATTTGTTAACAACCCTAATTGCATTGAACCCCACCAGCTTTTTTTTTTTTTCCAATGTTAAGGAAAATAAAATTACTAAAATTAGCAAAAGAAAGGAAATTACTACTCCATCTTTACCTTAAAGTCGCCAGAGGCTGCTTAATAAAATTGTCGGCAACTCGGCGTAGCTGTATACAATATATATTGCTTTTGACAGGGAAAGAAAGAGGTTGAGCACGAAAAGGTTTACATTCATTCTTGACCGCCGAAGCTTCAGAATCCCTAATGTACCGGAGATGTCGGCAGAGAGGCCGGTGAGACGACAGCTTCTGTAAAGATCATCTATCAATGTCAAAATTAAACAAAACACGCGCATCTTTTCGGCTGAAAGATCATTGATCATTAATGCCGTCTTAAGAGTTAAAGAGTAGCATCCATGCATGCCGCACCTTTTGCAAAGCCAGCAGTTTATCAATAATCCGATTGTATAGTCAAGTAGTGGACTTTTATTATAGGTATAAATTCGTTAAAATTACAAATTCCCATAAAAAATTTTAAATTTTAACTTAAAAAGTATTAATTTTTAATGAATATTTTAAAAATTAATGATTAAATTTAATAAATTATTGATATAGATTATACATATTAATTTTAAGTTAATTTAATATTTATAATTATTTAGTCAAAAATTTTATTTTTTTTAATATATATTTAATGTGATGGTAAATTTGATATATTCAATCAATTAATTATATATAATTAATCAATTTGAAAAAAAAATATGATCTATATTAATAAAATAAAATAAAATGTAATAGTTGATTTTTAAAAATTGATTTTTTAGAATTAAAATTTTAATTATTTTTATGAGAGTTGAGACTAATACATATTATTCTTATATTTTAAACTCAAATTACTAGATTTTTGTCCTCTCCATTTACATTGACGAATAATGCAAACATACTAATGTCAAAGCAATTAGCGGATTAGTTATACATCAATCCTTAACTCTCAGGTCCCGAGTCTTGACTTAATTGAATGAGGCTTGATATCACCTCTGATATGGTAAACAAACACCAAATCAAATGAATATATAGCTTTCTTAAATAATAAGATGATATTGATTTAATTACAATAATTAGTTAAATTTCTAAAATCTAATTAAGAATGTGACGTTTATACCGAATTTGCATGTGAGGATCATGTTAAATGAAAAAAATCTTATATTAAGAATATAAAAAAGACACATATGATTTAATTAAGAACACTAATGATTACTTTATTTATTATTTATTAATTTTAAATTAAACGTAAATCTTATATTTAATCCCAGGTGTTAATTTTCACGTCCGACAAAAGCTCAAGGGTCAATGTTGAACAACTGGATGAATCCTCAAAAGTTTAGTAAATACTTGATTTTGGTGTGGCTCTGTTATATGATTAAGTTTTGAGATAATTTTGTTAATTTTCGTGAAGACATGGGCTGCATTCGATCATTATAATTATATAGGAAGGTGCACCAAGGAATGGAGGGTTCTCGAGTGCGGTACACTTGTGCATGTATTCATCGGTCAAAGAAAGGGGCTGCGCCATGTTTGTGAAGATTTTGTCCACATACAAATTTAGATTGGCAGATGGCGCTTTGGCGTCATTGCTAGCAAAGCCAACTTGGAAAAATTATTGAAGCTCGGCCAAATGCTACACATATTGCCTTGCCTCAAGCTTTAGCTTCTGTCAACTTTGGCACGTTGGTGGAATGAATTCAACATCCACCAGGCTAATCCCTTGTGGGGAACATCTGGTAGTGGCATGTTTAAACCCCACCAAGCCTATTCCCTTCCTACTTACCATCTCCCCTCCCCTTAACACAAAACACAAAAATGTAACTTTTTTTCTTCTTTAAAATAATTGTCATTTTTTATTTTTTTAATTAAAATTTTAAAAATATGTATTTTATATTATCTTTAAAAAAATTAAGAGATAAAATAAAATTTTTTGTAATAAAATAATTCATTAAAATAAATAAATAATTATAGAATTAAAATAAAAAATAATAATTAATTTAAAATAAAATAATAAATAATTATTTTAAGACAAAAAAAATGTATAAAAGAAAATAATGGTATGGAAGACAGATTACTGTGAGTTTTGGAATCATGTGAACAATTTTGAGTATGAATTATAGTAATTGTTTTTTTTTTTTTTTCTTTGCCTGAAATGAATTATGGTACCATTGAAAATCCTTTGTTTT